CTTGAAATAGCCAAAAATAAAAATGTATTTCTTCCTAGTTATATAAATTTAAAGCATTTATTATTTTTTATTTATTACTGACGACCTTTAAAAAATAAGTGCGCAAAACAATATATAAAAAAATGTTTCGCCTTTTGCAGTGTTTCAGCTACTGTACATAGCTGCTGTCATCAGAATGTTTTTTTTTTTTTTTTTTCTGATCTTACTGAATAGAAGGTGTTGGATGTTAATCATTTATTACAGTGTGTTAGACAACTGTCATCAATTCTCATACTGTGGATAATATAATTGGCATATCATTTCTCATATTGATATGTTTTTCCTGACATTTTCTCATCATTTTCTTAAATACAAAAATTATAGTTGTTAAATTATATCAATTATGCTTGCAAATGATTCTCAAAAATGTAATTACATTACAAGGATATTACATTTTTTTTGTATTTAATTATGTACAGTACATGTATATTTATCGTACCAAACACATACTGTATTAACTACCCGTTTTAACATATTTCAAAGTAGTAAAGATACATGAAGACATCAAAAGAATAACATCAATAATCAAGATCTTTAAAAAAAAAAAACAGGGAATAAAAAAGATAACCAATAACAATATTGTTAAAAAGAATGTTGTGAAATATAACATTTTTAAGTAGAATATTTTGATGTCTGTTTAAGGAAATTTTTATTTTATTAAGTAGGTTATTAAAAAATCTTAGGAATAATATAGTGTGGGTTTGCCTTGGCAAATAATCTAAGTAGTATTATCTGGTTATTATAAGTTTGGCTACTTGCATTTCAAAGAGTCTATTATCAACGATTAATTTAGCTCCAGATAAATATTGAGAATCATATCCTTTCAGATGTTTCTAATTCAATATTACTAAATCGAAATCTTAACACTTTACAAAAATAACATAATATGCTTTACAAAAAATAATGCTAAAGCAATAGAAAATTACATGGAATATAACAGATTGCTAAAACATATTTTATAATGTATGCATGTCCACCTCTTGTATAGATGCTCACGGCACCATCATCCACAACAATTTTTTTAATGCAGCTAGAATAGATAGAGCGGTGTTATCAATAGATTTATATGAATTAAGAATTGAGTGAGGAATGAGGATCTATAAAATGATGGGCTTTGCAATGGTACTTACTCTAGATACCTCACTCATCTTTGAGCTTGAAAATTTTTTTAGATTAACTATATTACATTATGAATCACTCAAAGATGAATTTATTCCATAAATGAAGCTGGATTTTAGTGTCATGTTTAAAGACCCAGTGATCAATCAAGGATAATAATACTACTAGTGTTGCAAGCAAATTTTCCTAATCTTTTTCAATGTTATTCCTTCATTATGCAAACCCGTCGGCTGCCGATAATGTTTATTTCATGTTAATTTTGGGATTACCTGCCAAACATAAATAAAAAATATCCTGCCTACCACCGCTATAATATGTTGATGATATTAAAGGCCTATTATTTTTCCTTAAAATTAAATAATTATTAAGGCATTTATCTGTCCAATTACTGAACTGTTTATATCACCACATCAGATTTTTTATATGACAAGGTGAAGTGACTTAAGTGCGCCCTAAATTTACATTTACTTTGAGCACTTCGATATTAACAACACTAAGTATATTTTGAAATTACATAATGAGTAAAAACATTTTCTGATCGTTCATGAGTGCAAATTAAAGTGAGTACACCCTCTATAGTTATTGTTTAAATCATCATGTGATTTAAGTTAGGCTTAACCTGTATCAAATCAACAGTTTTTTTAGACCTTTGATAATTAATTGTTGTCAAGTGAAAAGTTTATCTGGACTTTTGTGATAATAAACATTTATAGTCATGTCAAAAGTTTAACTGGACCTCCCTGAACATGAACATTTATGGTCAGTCAAAATTTTATCTTGGCCTCTCTTTGTGAAAATTTAGTATCAAACCATATGTCTATTTGTTTGACCATTCTGTTCTTGAAACTAAGGGTTGTAGAAATCCCTTTATGAAATTGTTGGTTTTAGGACTATTACCTGATGAATTGTGTCTTCATTATGTCTTTGACAAGCTGTAATTTTATGTACAGTATTTATACTTTAGTTGTTTTATCATGTAGTTCTATTGGAGATATTTTCATAGTTTAATTTTAGTGTTTGTTTCATTTATGGAAGATACAGTCTTGTCGAAGAGTACCTCCTCAGTGAACAAGTATCATATGTAAAAGACAAAAAAAAAAAAGAATTGGTGATAATTGTAAGCTTTTGGTACACCATGTGGTACACCATCTGGCATATGCTACAAATCTCAATGGATTGGTTCCGAAAAGAAAATTTTGGATTGTAATGTCACAAAGTTTTGATTAGTATACTATAACTTTCTTCACTGAAAGAATGATGAAGAGCTATAAGGATGGTCTTATAAAGCTGAAAAGAAAAAAAAATATTACTGAATTGTAAAACTATCCCTGAATGAACCTGTGCTCCTTGTGGCCAGGTGCCTTAAGCTTGGTTTCCATACAATCGCTACACGCTATCGACCACAGCTTTTGCTGATGCTGATTGATCCGTCAAATCGAGAGCCTTACTGACTGTGTCGGCGACTGCTGCGCAGTACAGCGATGGCACTGGAAACACTGTTGCAACTGTGTAGTGATTTTAATGAAACCAGGCTTTAGCTTGATAGTTCATGCAATATCTCGTATAATGAGATACTGCAGTGCTAGTGCACTATTTGTTAATAATAATTTATTATCTTTCCAAGAATTTATGAGAAAATCAATCTTTAGCTTTTTAAAGCGATTTTCTACTTGTGTAAACCCTTTAGTTCGTTCTGTAATTGAATTTTTTGGAAGTTCTAGGCTCTCAAAAAGATGGAACGAACTTCTTTATGTTAATCCATAATTTCTATGGATCTTGTGGGGTTTATTTTCCCCTTATATTTATATTATTATCAGTTAAGTTGATGATGTTTAACTATGGATGTAAAGTCTGAAATAAAGAGAAAATGAAAATGAATGAATACTGTCTTTGAAATTTATGAAAATAATAACAAATTAAATCTAAAATAATTCAACTGTTGCAAAATGTTGTATATGATAAAATAATGGTTTGTATTCATTGTAGTTTTTATGAATATTGATTGGTTACTTTAATTATATGCTTTAATTTGTAAATTATAGCATTTTTTCGTCCATAATATACCACCCTCATTCTAGACAATGACCATCTGTTCACATAAAAAAAAATCCAACTGCAGTTGATGCGATCAGAAAATGTATCAGTCCACTTTCTGCTAGTTTCAGCTTTTAGGCAGTGTCTTTGCAGTGTGAACATGTACTGTGATTGGATTTGATTTATTTGGTGTAAACACCAAGGATAACACATTAAAGTCTGAAGACTACTTATTTAATTTCCATATTGGTGCATGGTGGTGATTCATTCAAGTACGCTGGTAGACAATCCTACTAATTTCCAAAGGGTGTACTGCATTCTTTAACATGCACATAGACCATATTACACACAGGACCGGCTTCTTAAATGTCTTGTCTTAAAAACTATGTACTATTGAAACTTGCGTTTCAGCTTTTTAGCGCAAACACAAGAAGGCTGTCGATGGGAATTTAACCGGGGAATAACCACTGTTCAGCACACGCACAACATTCTGGCAACCCCATTTGGTGGCCTTAGCAGCCACCAGTGGAAGGGTGGATGGATGCATAGCAGAAAAAAAAAATAGCTGAACAAAGGGCGGATGAACTCCTCGGAGCCAATGGCCAACCATGCTTTAGTTTAAGGAGTAGGTTTTAGTTTCATAGGATTACATCAACTTTCTTTGAAATGTCAAACTCAAAGAGCTCAATCACCAAGCGCATTGAGGCTATTTTGGATGATGCTCTTTACAAATCCAACTCTTATTATTATTGGCTACCAACAGTTTAGCCGACTGAGCTAAGCTGCTCTCTTGGAAATGTGCAGTATGATGTGCAAATTCACCTTCCCTTCCTGTCCCTTCATTGATAATATTTTTGGCACTATACATGTCTTCAAAAGTTCAAAACGACAGGATAGTTGATACTATATCAATTCAAATATTATCTGTAAATTTTGTATTACTTCCGCTTTACGTCGGTAGGTAGTCCCAATCATCATTTCTGAAGTAGAATTCACTGCTTCACCTCAAATCATGTTGTATTTGTATAATATACAAATACAGCAAATAAACAAATTTTTAGTATGGCTTTTAAAAATTGGAAATATTTATTTCTATTTGGAGATGATTATTATTACACTGCTCACGATTGAAGAACAAAACAATAAAAACTTAATCTAAATCCAAAAATTCTAAACACTGGTAGCAAAGTTAGCCTCAGTTTGTATGTAGCCCACAAATATACAGTATAGTACACGGATATAGGTAGGAAGAGGTTAGCTGTATGTGTAGTTAAGCTAGTATTAAGACCCATAGAAGTAGAGAAGCTTTGTTTTAAGGCCAACCCAGACATTGTTTTACAACGCAGTCCAACACAATTTAGGTTTGGGATAGTCTTAGGTTGTTGTCAACAGATTTAATATCGGGAACATTCTTAGGTTGTTGTGTCAACAAATGGCGTCGGTCTGTGTTGTAAGACGCTGTCTGAGTTGGCCTTCAGATAAGGAACTCACTGAAAGCCCACGGCTAGGCTATTGTACTATGTGAGGAAAGGGGGTAAGAAAAATCTAAGGCAGTGTACAGCTAATTTAGGTTGGGGTTAGCATACTTTGCTACAATAAGGTAGTTTTTACTTACAATGATGGGAAATGGGCTGTATAGGATCAAATTTACTAATTTACTAGTAAGTTTTGGTTTATTTGGTATTTATTACAAATCATGGACATACAATGTTACTTGTTATTAGTTGTGGAATTAATTCTTCCTGATGATACTGTTTAATTTCATCAGGGTTATTTCTTCATCCAAAGGATTTTTTTTTATCTTCTAGAATAACTGTACTGGAGAAACCCTAAAAAGTTGTCATCAACTGCACTGCCACCTCTTTCGGAAGGTAATGATTAAGCATGATCATTGTTTACATCTTTTTTTTAATGTTCATTTAAAATTCATATTTCAGATTAATTTTATCATTCATTTGTGATATTTATTTAGGCATGTACATAATAAAGACATCAGAAGCAGGTTTTGTTTTGCCTTTCATCCATTCCCCTTATGCTCAAACAATTTTGTTTAATATTAAATTGTCATTAGTATTAAAGGTAAATAAATTTATTTGTTGGATTTCTTTTACATTGCCTACAGCGGGAATATATTCTGTACAATAAAAAATTAAGAGTAATTGTGATTTGGTTTGTACCTTTTTTGTAAGTAACCCCATTTTCTCAAGAGATGTCTGTTGACCTGAATTCCTACTGTACAGTTCTTTCCTGTGGGAGACAGACTTGTACAGCCGTGGACACATGTGATCCTATGAACTGAGAATTTCCTTTCCACTGATTAGTACTAGTAGGCATATGTTCATATTATCATCAACTTATGCTTTTGTCATATAGCAGAAGGGTGTCTTTTTGAAACTTGATCATTTCATTATATGTTGTCCTTCAACTTGCTAGTTGACGGTAATATACTATCAATAGATCTATAAAGCGCTTCTTCGTAGAATGTCAAAAGGTGAATTGAGCAGACTTTCATGGTCCCTTATATGGCAGGTTGCAGATTTCTGTTAAAATACCACAACGTTGCCGAGCCCAGACTCTCACCAGCATTAAAAGCACCGGTCGGGCCTACCTCTGTTGGGCCTGACAATACCTGTCAAAGGCCAAAAGAAACAGACAGGTGGGCTTTGTTGAGGCCTAGTGGTTCCAGATTAACCTCTCTCTGTGAGTGAGAGGTAGCCATAGGAGGAGGTCTGTTTGCTCATTAGGCATGTAGTAGACAACACATAATGCAGTATGCACATAACATACCTAAGATAGAGTATTATCATGATTTTCATTATAAATCAATTTTATGATGACTACGGAAGTAAAGGATGTGGAATTACAAAGCAATAACACCCTCTGTGTTGTTTTTACCTGTCTACGAAAGGTGTTCCATTCTAAAATGTGTTTTGAGAAAGAAAATTAAATTAATATTTCTCTACAAACAAATAAATGTCTTTAATGGAAATAAGTATTTAATAAATGTGAAGTATCCAATTGCTAGCATCTGTTTGCTCCTTGGTCCTATTGGAGAATAATACTTACTTAATGAACAGGCCACCCTGGTTAAAATAATTCAAGTTCACTTTACTACCAAACCGCTGGTAATTTCAGTATGTCGAGTTTGGTGTATAATCTGCAATGAAAATAAAAATAGCAAAAACACAAAACTGCAGACATACTCTGTAGGCGTGAAGGGTCTACAACAACAAAATATCATTGAAAAAATTTATCTGGATCCAATATTAAAATATTGGGTTAATTTGTTCTTTTTAGATGATCCAATTAATATTGCTTTTAAATATTAAGAAAAACGTACTCGCACGATGTTTTGCTGATACAGTACTCTATCAGCATTCTCAAGTGAACTGTGATGTAATTACAGCTTATATAACTAAAGTTGCTGGAGAAAAATTCTTGGTGTAACAGAAGGATTTGAACTGAGGAACTTGAAAGGCAAGCATGCTAATCACTAGTAAAGTGATCATTTTGAAGTTTTCCCTATACTGTATGCAATTAATCATGTAATTAAATTCATCAAACTGGTAAATAGTAATATCCATGTTATCATTACTCTTTTAATTGTAAAAATAATAATAACAGCTGATTAAATTGAATGATGTTCAGGATTTCATATTGAATGTTAGTTTGATCTGTTTCTGTATTGTATTTAATTCAAGTTTATTTAAAACTCCACAAATATTGTGGCTTGTGGGCCAAATTGTATGTAAATTACAAGTTGAAATTGTATTAAAAAAAAAGCAGCAATATAAAATGGACATAAAAATAGCAACATATACAGTAAAAAGAAACAGAAACAGTACAATAAAACACCAAACTGAGAAGGGATAGATGCTAGAAAACAGGCCTAATGACTGACCAGGTAACAATATGTAAATCAATATAAACATTAAGAATTATAATAAGCAATAACCATCTTAAGGTAAACAAAATAAAAATGAAAAGGACAGCAAGTATGGGAAAAGCATTGTAAACAGAATTTTTATTAGGTATTATTATTTTACTATTATTATTATTAATATTATTATTATTATTGCCATAAACATAGTTAAGAAAAGGAAGAAACAAGAGGAGATGAATTAGACGATTTGGAGAGGAAATGCCGTAGGAACACTGATAATGTAAATTCTTTCAATGCAGATACTGTAATTCCTGTAACGTTTCATTTTATATCCATAATAAATAACAATAAATTATTCATGGCCAGAATCCTGTTCGAAACAACATGATAATTTCAACTCTTGTACAAACCTAAATGAATGATATTCGTTCATTATACAATGATAAATCATGTGTACGTGTGTGTGTGTCTGTGTGCGTGCATACGTAATGAGATGCATGTGTATTGCAGCGTGCATATGTTGTCGGGAAGTATTTGGGATGTGGTGTGTTAGTGTTCTAATTTGGTTTCTGCCGTTTTTTGACAGTAAAACAAAATGTAATATTGTTAAAAAATAGTATACTTGATGCGGATTGAATTACTCATAAATTGTGTTTTAAGTATGTTTTTGTGCGTTTAAAAATTTGTATTTTACTTAGTGTTTTTGTTTTTATGTTTGTGCACTAATGTGAACTACCTAAAAATAAGCAAAAAAAAAATGATTGTCAAGGTTTTGGTCTGATTATGGTAAAAGGTCACCGACAAGATGTAAGGCCATTTGGACATGCACTCTTTGCTTCTGCCATATTTTATTTTCTTTGCTAAAGCTCTCATAATGACCAGCATAAAAGTTGTAGTATAACTGATTAACTATTATATATTTTCGTTTTAATTTTAATATTAAAAAGATTTCACTTGTAAAATCTGTTTTGTAAAGTATAGTATTAGTATGTATGAACAATCAAAGCTTCATATTAGTGATCAGTAGAAAGTGTGTTTTTAGTGTGTAGTTTTAACAAAAAAGCCAAATGATATTTTATTTTACAAAAATATAAAAATCATTATTTAATGATATATTAATTTTAATTATAAAATTATATTAATTTCTAAATTCTGCTCTGAACTTGAAATGACATTATATTCTTACTAATTGTTACTGTGAACATAAAGATGTTTTGTCCCCTGGAAAAAGCAACAACTTGGAATTTAAATAGCAAATTTTGAAGTACTTTAAAACTATCAACATGAACTAGGGTCTTTAATGAATGTTTACCTATAATTTATCATGAATAATCACAAAAATTGATAGAATTATTTTAGTCTCAATTTATGATTTTTGCTTCTGGTATAAAAATCAGTGAGACATTTTTTTAAATCGCTAATTTCCTTGCTCAAAATGGATTTATATTGTGGGTTCTGTGTAATTTACAAGGGACAGTACATCTTTATCAAAAATATTAGAGAAATATGTTGTATTTTAAGAAAAATCAAATATTCAAAACTCCAGTTTTAATAGAGAATAGTAGTTAACCTATTTTTTGCAGAAGTAATTAGACAAACTAATGTGTTTATATACTAAATACTAGAAATTAGAAATGCATACTGTAGAATAGAATACAATAATTTAATTTGTTTTCAAAGAAACACACATTGATAAGGTCAAATGTGAAGGAAATATAGATATTGAAGTGGTTTCTTGGGAGTTTTCACATTCTTAACAGTATAAAAATCCACCATGCTTTGATGTGACAGTATCTTGTTCTCTACACTGCCTGATAGTGCAACCAAACTTTGCTAGTTGAGTCATGCAAGGTCATTGACCTGTTTCCACTCTCAGTAGACTGCCCTGAAGCCCCAGTAAGAAAATAGGCTATACTGCTCAACCAAACAACTAAATGAATGATAGGTTAGCGAATAGGGACTGGTGGTTGACAACGGATGTCTCATAAGCTGTTGGCAGTGTAATGGATCTTGCGTTTGCTGAGAGGGTTTGTCAAATGTTTCTAGTCCACATTTGTTGCTGTGATTTCTACACAATGTTCTTCATAATCAGCTGTGTCCAAAACAGCAGCTGTATGATACGGATGACAACCCACCCTAGTCCAGCTCAACTTGGTTTTGCTGCTTCGGAAGGAAGCATTGATGTAGACGTGCGTGATGTTTATCCTCTTTCACACTGTGCCTCAGGGGTGTATTGTACAATACGAATCCACATTGTCCACAGGAAATTCAAACATTACCACTCGAGTTACTTTTTCTATTTATATCACAACTTTTACAACTGTAAGATAATAAAATGATCATTTTCATACGATATTTTAAGAGAAAACCACAAGATATACATGGAAAGAATAAATTGTTCCTATGTGAGAAAAACCTTTTAAAATGAAAAATGAAAAACATTGCAACATGAAAATCATGTAACATGAAAATGCATAAAAAATCTATTTTGCCAGATTCTAAATTATGACATTTCATTATCTAATTTTTTATCATATTTTTGACAGTGCAGAGTTCATAAGAAAATAATTTTCTTTGGTTTGCATCCAACATAAAGTTTGTCACTTATGGCACCTAATAGGATAAAATTAATTATGTAAAATGCAGTATTTCTGTGATTGTCATTATGAGACTTAGGGCGTGGAACTGTTTTAGTCATCATAAATAAAATCTCGGCATTTGTAGAATTTGAACCTGGGACCCTGGGAAGAGATTGCAAGTACCTTAACACGTTAGTGGATGTTAACTATGAATATACAATTATGTGTAAACTGACAGAACTAATACAGGTATTTTTGGAAGGAATGTAAGCTTTTTCTATTTTTGATTTTAAATATTACTGGCGCCTTAGCTGAATCAGTTTTCCTTCTGTTTATCAACCTTCCCAATTTAAATCTTTTGAAGCATTAAAAAAAAAAAAATAAGTAACCCATTGTGTGCGTTCATTAGCTTTGTTTTGGGTGATTGTCAATAAAAAATATTTAAAAAAATTGTGGCAGGGCATGTAGTTTCAAAACCGCACCGATTTCTGTTGCAATTAAATGTGTTAGCCAACAACCAAACACTTTCCTGCTAAATTTGTAGGATTTTTAAAAAGCTAGTTGGATGTTTTCTATATAAGCTAAAATTTTATTAAGGTTTTAGTATTGAAAAAAACTTGGATCAGAATGTTCGTTGCATGCAAAATGTTTATATTCTTGTGACTAATACTAATTTCACTTCCTAAAGCCAGATAATGAGACATAGGTTATTTAGTATCACAGTTGATCACCATCCTGTGCTGGCAAATAGCTTGCTGTTGGATGGGGATAAAATTAAATAGCTACAGTGTGTAGTATTAGGCTAGATTCTTTCATCTCATTAAGGTTGTCACTATTTGATATTTGATATTAAACAAAATCAACACTAGCTTTATGAAATTTATGATTAGTTTGAGAAATATATGATACTTTGCTAAGGTACCTAAATTTATAAATCAGTTAACGTGTGATGCATCATATAAAATATGAAGTTTGCTTCCTATACGATGGGCACCAGTAGATTAACTTCACTTAATTATATAATCTGTGTAGCTCTATTTAAAAATCGAAGATTTAGATGTAGAATTACTGAAAACTAAAGAAAATAACTAGGTGAAATTTCTGAAGTAGAACTTTTATCACAGAAGAAAATATTTTTATATTTATTTAGGGAGAAACTGTTTTTCTTAAATTGCTCATCTTTTATTCCTTTCAGTGATGTAGTATGCCTGTCTAGATTATTCTAAGAAGTTTTTTGACCTGATGTTTGTGATTTTGTAATTGTTATATTTTAAAGTATTTAAAAATTTACTTGCATTGCGTGATGAAATGATGTTTGATATTCATTGAAGTCAAGTTGTTTGTAGACAGCAGTGATAACTTGACATCTGCATATTCCCCAAAGGAAACCAAGTCTCCTTGAATATTTCTTGATGTGAATGATGTCACATTTTGATATTGTTGTGTATCCGGCTATTTGTCTATAGAAGCTGTTGACTTCAGTGTAGTTAATTCATAGGCTACGTAGGTCTTTATTCACTAGTGGATACTAATGGGGTTGAACCTAAATGTAGCAGTCAGCAACGGGGATCATCAAGATGATAGAGGGCTTGGATCAATTTTTCTACTACTAAAAACCCCCGGAATTTTTTACATTCAAAAATATATGAATTAAACATATTTTATGTAGATAATGGTTAAGTATTGTAAAATGCTATTTGTATTAAACATTTTTATAGAAATATTTGCTATTAATTTATGTCTCATTTGTAAATAATACTTACCCAGGCCAGTAGTGTTATGCATTGTAAAATGCTAGGTTTACACTATGTTCCCGGTGACCACAGCAGTCACGTTTCAGGCCACCTTGAACAAAACTGGATGGATGTGAGACAATGTGGGAGGACTGGATGGGCAAACGTGACAGCCCGCGATTGCTATGGATGTCGGCACAGATTTTTAAACTCAAAGAATTTGCCACGGCAGTCGTAGTGTGGATATGAGAAACAAAACATGTTAGTACGTAATAGGCCGTAACAAAACTTGGAGGCGGTCGTTATTGGGACGGGAAGCCTAAATAGCATAAATAGGAAGAGCGCCACAAATAAAAACAAGAAGCAATTTTTTTATACCGTGGGTGCAAACATGCTCCAATGCTACCAGTGTCTGCTGAAAGAATGTGAGAAACTTGAGGGACCCCATCAGAACATGACGGGCTGGGAGGGAACGTATTGGCATCCATGTTAGACCGCAGGCCGAACCGTAGTGTGCCTTTGAGCCTCTGGGACTCAGCAGCCCCTTTCCTACATGGTCAATCAAGGATACCGTGATAGGCTTGAAAAAACTGAGCAAGACCTAACAAAACTTGATTATGGTGAAAAAAAATGGCCAAAATCCCACGGCGCACTATGTTTCGGGCAAACGGGGCTGCCGTGGCCACCGTGAATAAATGTAAGCCTAGCATAAAATGTTGAAAGCCAATTTTTGCATATAAACATCATGCAACAAAATGATTGGTTAAATAGTTTCGTTTTTCTACCGTTGAAGGTAGAAGAACACATTGCGAAATCCTTTTCTGAATCAGTTTCCTTTAATCTTACTATGGTATTGTAATTATAATTGCTTACTGTAACCACACTCAGTTTGAATTGTTTATCAATAAACTGAGTTTATTTTGACATAAAGCCTAATAATTTATTTAAATGCCAAAGAATTTCCCAAACTGGATTTATAAAGTTTTTATCTTTATCTGTCTTATCATCGATAAGCGAAAAGCAAATTATCTACTCAGCTTTCAAATGTTTTCTTTTCTTTATTTAATTCTATGACCTTAAAATTAAATCCTTTCCAAAGAGCAACACAAATTATGCTTTTTTATATCTAAAGTTAGTCATCGAACTCATTTAAAAAAAAAAAAAAAAAACTTGATAGACAAGTTTTCTTTTCTTCCTCTGCAGAAATTTAAATTAATTTTCCAAAACTGTTGACAACACTCCATGTATTTAAAAAGAAATCAAGCCAGGAATCATATTACTTTGATGATGTTTCATCATTGCGTTGATCCTCTTGGAAAGAAGCCATTATTGTGCTCCTGACTGTCCCTTTACCCTGACGCAGAACCATCCCTATCCTATGTACAGATACACATCACGTATGCACTGTGATATAAAGTGGCCAGAGCCTATCCCCATGTCCTTAAGTGAACTCTGGAGTTTGTTCAACTGAAGTTGGTATATTTATAGGAATTTGTAGGTCATATGTATGAAGTATTTGGTAGTGTGCATTGTACCCAAGGAGTTTATATTCTGAAATATGTGTGTATAGTGGATTGGATTTTTTATAATCAGCTTAGTAAAACCTGAATGGTTTTGAACTGCTCAGGGCAGGTAATCAGCCATATGTAGATGTGTTCATTAACACAGGAACAGGGAAAATAATATATGCACCTGTACTGTGATAAGACTTGGTATCCAAAGTGTGAGGTGTGAACGTTTTGAGTTCAAAGGGTTATAGAGAAAGATTTTAAGCTCAATGCAGTGGTTATTCACCTGTCTGCTATCAGAAATAAGATCTGTAACTCCATGATCTACTGTATTCCTAATATTTTTTTTTTTTTTTGTGTAAATTATTGTCATTTTATCTTATGGAATATTAAAAAACAGTGAAAATATCAATTCATAAATGATATTAAATTTGTGTAAACATAGGCTTTAAACAATCTTTTATTTATAATTTTACATTTATAATTTAATTTCTTAATATTTTTCCTAATTATTATATATTACTGTAAGTAATTATAAATGATTTCATTAGTTTAAGTGTAGTTTGTTTTCCTAGTGTTATATTTGGTTGCTGTGTTTATGTTCCTTAGTGTTGTATTTGGTTGTTATGTTTGAGTGTTATTTTTGTTCCTTAGTGTTGTATTTATTTTGTCAATGTTTAAGTATTGTTTGTGTTCCTTAGTGTTGTACCTGGTTGCTGTGTTTAAGTGTTGTTTGTATTCCGTAGTGTTGTACAGTATTTGGTTGCTGCGTTACAGTGTTGTTTGTGTTGCTTAGTGTTGTATCTGGTTGCTGTGTGTAAGTGGTGTTTGTGTTCCTTAGTGTTGTTTTTGGTTGCTGTGTTTGTGTTCCTTAGTGTTGTATTTGCATGCTGTTACATGTGTTTTGTGTTCAGTTTAAGTGTTTGTGTACATTAGTGTTGTATTTGGTTGCTGTGTTACTGTACATGTTCTGTGTGTGTTCTGTTCAATTGTTTGTGTTCCTTATTGTTGTAATTGCTTGCTGTGTTTGTGTTCCGTAGTGTTATGTTTGGTTGCTGTGTTGCAAAAAAAATTCACATAAATACATTATAACATATATTAAGAGAAATAACCAAAAAGGGGAAAATATATGAGGCACTGAAACCTTGAGAACAGTCAAATAACAAAGAAAATGAAACAGGCAAGTCAGCAAACATAGACCATAACGAATGTTGTTTTTATCCCTAAGAGTTCAGTAGTCAAAGAGTGAAGTGAATTGCATACCTTTTAGTAAACCTAGATATAGGCCTACACTATTTATAATCAGGGGCTACATGCATGTGCAAATTATAGACTTAGTGTTTATGTTTCCCAATAAATTATCCTCTTTTTTGGCAGAGTGGTAAATGACAAAGTTGATTTTAAATAATAATTTACAGTAGTTTATTTGAAGTTCATAATTCACCTTGCTAAAAAAAAAAATATAGCTCCTAGCTAATTTATACACAATAATAATTATGATCAGGTAATTTACAAATTAGCTCATTAAAACCCATTTGCCACTTGGCCAAAAAAAATGTGTTATATAATGTTGATTAATTACTTTGCTTCAATTAGAGGAATATAATTAAACATTTTGTGAATGCATGGAATGAACCAAAGTGTGTTTAAAATACAGTATAATTGTCCATTAATGTTGAATGTTTAATTTATTTATGCGGTTAGGCCCAGTGGGGATGGTTTGTTTTCCCAATCTCAACGTTGGGGTTTCTATCCCTCGCTGTGCATTTTAGCATGTGTCCTTGAGCAAGGCACTTTACCTGCATTTCTTCTCTCCACCCAAGTATAAATGGGTACCTGGTGGGGTTGCTTGCTCTTGCGTTGATTACCAGCAGCAACACCCAATGACCCAATGACCAGGGAAAAGAAATGCGCTTTATAACCTCAAGGAAGAGGCGCATATAAATGCCTGTACCATTAGGATTAAAATAAAAAGGAGGAGGACTGTAGATATGTTGAATCAATATTATTTGTTTTAGTTTCATAGGCCTATTAGTTGTTAATATTTCTTGTGTTTTGTATCCCATGGCAAATAGTTCACTGTAGTATGTTTGTTTTTTTTTGTTTAGTTATGTGACAGTAGCATGATTAAGAAACATAAATAAGAATTGGAGTTGAGTTGAATAGCTTAGTGATTAAGATGCTTGCCTTTTAATCCCAGGGTCCTGGATTCAATTCCTGTGACAGCACTGAAAACTTCAATCCCTAGACCTCATAAAGAGACTTAGTTTATAAAGGCATCATCCATCCTGTAATCGGTGAGTTACTTTACGTTGGATGTTACTGAGTTTGTTTTCTCCTGCGCCTTTGATAAATTTTTGAATTGGCGCTATATAAATGTTTATTATTATTATTATTATTATTATTATTATTATGCAAATAATATATAAGAAAAAATACAATTTGTAATACTACAGTATATTGGGATGAATGTCACTGTAATTGGATGCATGCCATTCTAATAGGATGCATGTCGTTGATATGAATGGGTGTGGGATGCATTGTTGTAATGCAATGGGATGTATGTCATGTAGGATGAAATGGGATGCATGTCATTATAATGTAAAAAATGACATACATCATACATGTCATTGCAATGGGATGCATCATGTCATTTTAATGGGATGCTGCTATCATTTTAATGGATGAATATCATTGTAATGGGATGGGCTTAAAATGTCATTACAATGCAATGGGATACATCAGATGCATATCATTGCAGTCATGTTTAAGACTGTCTATATTTGAAATGGAGAAAACTTTATCACTCTTAAAAGGTGTTTTTAATTGTACAGAAATACAGTAGTAGTAAATAATGGTATTAAATATAGGACGCATGTCATTGCTGTGAAGTTCTATTGCTCTGTAACAATCAGTTGATGCATATCATTACAATGGCAAGCAGAGCCCTCAGATTGTATTCTACAATAAAATGCAGGTAATCCTTGTCCTTTTATTATTTTTTGTTGTTATTTAACAATAAGAAATGTCTAATATAATGCCACAATTGTGTGAACGATGAAATAGTTTTGCTGAAGTTGAATAGTTCATTGTAAATAATTCAGGAACATACAGTAAAATCTCGTATAGTGTACAGTACAGTGTGTTGGGAGTCAAATGTTACAGTTTTTGTCACATGAATGAGTTATAGATCAGTATACACGGTAGGTAAGAGCATTTTGATTTGTAGGTTATAGATGTAGGTTATCAGAACTTGCCATCACCCTGCCATTCCCCAAGGAATGCATTTCAACTACTAAGCTATGCAGCGATTTATTATTGGTCTTGTCAGAAAGGGGGCTGGCACATAAATGTGCTCATAGTTCCAAGAAGATCTTAGTAGGGAAGTTTTGTAGTATTAAAGAAGAAAAGGTGTACTCTCTACCACGTTAATGGTTTGTACGAAGTCTGTTGTTTTATATTGTTAACCCTAAAATAGTTTTAAATTTTGACAGAAATTTGATAGAGAGAGAAAGATACAAAAAGATTTTGGTTCTTGCTCTCTGTGTTTCTGAAAATAAACTTGGCATAGTAGTTTTATGATGTTTACATTTTAAAGGCATAGAAACATGTATTAAATTAAAAGAAAAAAAAAAACCCATAATTTATTTGAAGTACTCTGTCCTGTTTATTGTTCTTGGTAGTTTATTTGAGGAGGCATATTTTATTTGGTTAGAAAATAGGTTCTTATGCCACTTATTTTCACTGGAAATGTGGAGCACAACACAAAACTAGAGCAGCAGCATCCACAGAGTGCATACCACCGTCTTTTGTCTGAATACCAAGGAAATGCACTGGTCTTTCATGGATGAGACGGGCGATTCCATTTTCTTTTAGTGCCAAGGCATAATTTTCACGAAAATTTCAGAATTTCCATTATAATCTTTAACCGTTTTATTCCAAAATTTAACCACCTCTTCCTTAGACTCATATCTACCTCAAAAAACAAAAAAAAATCCCTGGGATGTTTATTTGAGGGGGAGTTTATTGCAAATAAGCTACTCAAGGGGGCGTTAAAGTAAATTACAATTCAAGATTACACAGTTTTTCATCTTCAACAAATAAATCTATAATGTAGCTGTCTGGCAAGCTATGTTCATTAAATGGTAAAACAAACAGATGTAGGAATTACCATTTTCATAGTCTTATCAAAGTTTGTGTCCAAATACACTATGAAAGTATTGTGCTTTATTAATTTTGTAATAGATGGTGGTTTATTGATATCTTATTTGTACTGTATATTTATAATTTCTTTAAGTATTGAAGAAGCATGCTATTTATTTAGGCGCACGCACACATGTGCTAAGGATTGCCTAGCGAATATATCAACTGTCCTACGAGTAGGTGACAATCCCTTTCACAAGTCAAACATTTATTTATTTATTTAAAACCATATTTTGAGTGGGCGACCCTTACAGAATAAATCTGATGTTCAGGGGCTCACTTAAATACAAAAATATAAAAAGTATGTAAAAATATAGCCAATCTATCAATTTAGTCATTAAATTTAAAACAGCGAACATTAAAATACTAAAAAAATAAAATAAGAAAAAGAAAGCAAAAGAAAGAAAACAAAGAAAAAAACAAACACACACAAACACCCGAAACCACACAGGAAAAAAAACCTAAGAAAAAGGGGAATATAAATTCTTGTTTAAAATGTGTTGCTTGATGTGCTTTTTAAAGGTGTTGTATGTAGGTATGGTGGTGATGGCAAGTGGGAGGTTATTCCAGAATGAAGGAATATACACACATGATAATTTATACTAAGTCTCAATGTGAGGCTTAAGGCGTGAAATTGTTTTGGTCGTGAGAAAAATCCTGCGACACTGACATTAATTGAACCTAGGACCCTGGGTTTAAAAGGCAAGCTTCTTAACCACCAAGCTATTCAACTCCACTTGAATCAATTTATTTATAATTGATTTAATAGTAATTTATTTATAATCAATTTTAGGTGAACAACTTTTAAATGTATATTATTCATGAATAAACCTTGTATATTTTTAAAATGTCACAACCACGTGGAAGAATGCCGTCTTTTTTTTTAGGTGAATATCTTTTAAATGTGTATTTTTAATTTATATTTTTTTGTGAATAAGGCTTTGATTGATAATGAGCAGTTTTCCTAATTGATTTTTTGAATTTTACGGGTGTTTGATTAGAGAGAGACATTTAATGTCCTTGTCTTCAATAAATTTTAACACAAGAGTATATTTTAGAAAAAAAAAATTTATAAAACCACACCTACTGTAATGTAGAGTACAGAAAGTGTACGAGTGATTCTCAAGGGCTTCCTCTATTTCGAAGTCCTGCATTCACCAATGGAAAATTGTTTTTACATTATTTATTTACTCTTTCAGTTTTTTTTAACACGAGAACCCTTTACAGAAATAGAAGACTCATTGAGATTTTCATAATATTTACAAAACAAACAGTATTTTGTGTAAATATTCTTGTTTCCTGCTTACCAATGTGCATATTGTACCAGATTTTGGCAATTGTAGTGAATGATATTAATAATAATATTAATATTTTGTGCAGATAAGATCTGTCCTTATGAAAAAGATTTAACTTATTCAACCTCAATAAGTAAATGCCTGGTCAGTCCCTTGTGTTTTCAGTTAAGTCGGATAAAGATTATTTTTATTGCAGCACTCGTACTCTGGAATGCACTATCAATTTACATTAAAAACATTAATGTCCATTTCTTCATTTAAAAATCACTTAAAGACGCACATCTTTCATTCTCTATTATTTGGACCACTATTAACATGGATCTTTTAATGACACTGCATGAATTTCTATTTTATTTATTATTACTACATTTAAAAAAATTCTTTTTGAAATTTCCAAATTTGAAGTTGTTTTTTTCTGTAAAATATTCTACTTCATCATTGTAAAAATGAAAGAGAGTTTAGAAATTTGGGAAAAGGATGCAAATGTAGCAATTGTGAATGTTTTTGTGAATTTTTGTTTGAGGTATGTAAATTCATATTGGGTCATGTTACAGTAATTTTGGAAGAATGCTAGATGATGTGACCCTAGCATTGTCTCCACTGGAGACTCCTGTAGTACACAGCCTAATTTATCACTTTCCTTTAAAGGGAACATCAGTAGACATAGTAATAACATTTGACTTCTTTTCTGGGATTAAAGTATGTCTAAATATGGAAATAATAGTTATAAAAATAGGGTTTTATTAATTTTTATTTTCACACCTATTCCAGGCCTTGTCATTTGAAAATGGCAGGCGAGCAATAAAACACTCACCATAATTTTTAGGCGAGTGGTTATTTTGCGGGATTGGNNAGTGCACTCTCCCAATACATCCAACCCCCTTCCCCACCTCGGGACCGGTTACGATGTTCGGATTTCCGGAAAGTTTGGTTAATGTAACATATCTATTGAACCCTTTCCGAACAAGCTTGTTGCATTGTAGGCCAGCTAGGATGGCCTGGCTGGTGAAGTAGACATAGGCCTAGCTAGCAAGTGTCCCGTTGGTTCGGTATGGCTAGGCCTAGCCTAGCCTACGAAAATTTAACATACATACAGTGTAAAGTACCTGTTTTGTTGTACTGTACAGCAAATTTACTTACCAATAAAACGAATGCTTTTTTATATTGTTTTTACGTGCATTTTTGATCTGATATTTTCCCCCTAAACCCAACACATTCTTCGTAGTCACGATGCCACTTGCTGGTTGTTTGATTGTTGTAAACATCAGATATCAGGTCGCGCCTCTCTCCTAAACTCTGCCAGCTAATTGGTTAATTTTTTTCGTTGGGTCATGTGCAAACATGTGCTTGGTTGTGATGACGTCAGATCGCCAAAGTTTTATTGTGTGACAATTTGCTGTGATAGAATGAACTCAGTGTATTTCGCCTATATTTATAAATTAAATCTAAATAACAAATTTAAATTTTATTTTCTACAAATTTCCTCTGTAATTAAATTAGCAACATGTTTCTCAAAAGTGTCTTGTTTGAAGAATAAGTGAAGCTATGCATTTGTAAATTTACACTGACGAATCAATCAAACGTCATCCAAATCCGAATAAACGTCTACTAGAAAAGTCAGCCGTAGAAACTTGCTTTGAGTTCCGTCTACATTTCAGTTTGATTCCAATCGATTTTTAAGGAGCGATAATGCACTTTATTAAACAATGGAAGGCGTAATTTTTACTTTTATCTAACCATGTAACTTTATCGTTTTCCGGATGTGTCGTTTTAAATCCATAGATAATCTCTGGCAGCAG